GTTGAAGCTTAGGGTGTGCTCTCCTCCCTACTGTTGTACAATATAAAATTTTCCATGAAAAAATTCTGGGCCTCAGGTAATGCAAGTCTTATACCCTGGGCCTGATTGTTTCCAATCAGAAATCACAAGATTTCAAACTGTGCCATGCTAATCTCTTGTTACATTTCAAAACAGAAATTTGGTCTTCTTCTGTTTTGCCTAAAGCAGTTCAAGTCATGAACTGGGAAGAAATAATGCCTTGCTTTTATGTGGAAACAAACTGGGAGATACACATGATCTCCTTTATCTTGATCATGGGAGGAATCCAACCAATCGAAGAGGCAAAGCCAACCCTTGAGAGAAAAGCCACATTTTTAGGTAGCTGGAAATAAATGCTTCTTTTGGAAGAGTTGGTCCCCAGGAAAGTCTTCTGGCAGCAGACACAAGGCATGAGTGTGAAAGCTGAGACTGAGTTGAAAATTACAGCCTGAGCTTCAACTGCCAGTGAAGAGGCCGGTGCTACTGGGGAGGTGGGTCACACATTGCCAGGCAGAGCCTGGGGACAGAAAGGAGCCTCCCACGGACACGCTGATACTAGTTGTCCTGTGCCCACCCACATGGCACCTCTTTCTCACAAGCCACAAAGATGGAGGCTGCTTTGACAATATCCCCAGTCGTGTGAGTTGGGGACTCCAGCCATCACAAGCTGGGGGATGGTCCCAGGAATCGCCATGACACCCATATTTCCTAGAACACCTCCCAGGCTACAGAGCAGCGGCCAGGTTTCTTTTTCAATGATAGTCCCAGACAGACCAAATTGTCATGCATGTTAACTAGAAAGCTAGAAGGGCAAATTTTGAACTTGGGGGGAAAAATTATATCTGGGAGTGGGAGGCTAGGAGATGAATGTAGGCGTGTGCTTCCTTGGGGGACAAACAAGCACTCAATTAGCATGAGAATGCCCTGCAGTGAGCACGCTAGGACCTGCTCTGTGCCAGGCATTGCAGTCAAGGTGGGATGAGTGAGCCATGGTTCTTGTTTTCAAGAAGAGCGCAGGAAGGGAGGAGACAGGTGCGCAGAATCTCCTGGGAAAGTGCTGAAACAAAGGGCATGTCTGTCCTGTGACTCAGGCAGGGTAACTTGGCCAAAGTCTAACTTTGGGCAAATTGGGTTCATCTAATTTTCATCTATAAAATGGGGCAATTCTTGCCTTGCTGACATGGTAGAGTTGTAGAGCTGTAAGAAGCTAGACCGTTAAAATAACAACAACAACAACAACGATAAATAAAGAAGTTTCAGTAGCCCCACTGGCCTGGTTCAATGGTTGAGTGTTGACCTATGAACCAGGAGGTCACAGTTCAATTCTTGGTCAGGGCACATGCCCTGGATTGCAGGCTCAATCCTCAATGTGGGGCCTGCAGGAAGCAGTGATCAATGATTTTCTCTCATCATTGATGTTTTTATCTCTCTCCCTCTTCCTTCCTCTCTGAAATCAATTGTGTGTGTGTGTGTGTGTGTGTGTGTGTGTGTATGTGTGTGTTTGTTTAAATAAATACTTTATACATAAAAAAGCATCAGCAGCTACAGGAGTAGCCCTCTTATCTAAGGGCCAGTGACTGGCGCTCATGGACAAGTGCCCTCTGTGAATGGCAGCCAAGACCATGGGCAGGTTCCTGATGCAGATGCTGCCCACTATCCAGCCAGCCCTGAGTAACAGCGCCCTGTAACCTCATTCTCTTAGTTAGTTCCTTGTCACATGCCCAGGAGCTGCTGTGGCATGAGAACCCTTTCCAACTCGTTCAAACTCGCCTGATTCAGAGGATGAAGGCGCTTAGTTCTAGTAATCTTAAAAATCCAGAGCTTGAGAGCCAGAGGGATGTTGGAACATGCTGTCCAATCCTCCCATTTGTATGCAGGGCAAAGGAGACTTAGGAAGGATGTCACCGGTTTGAGGTCTCCGAGGTGGTGGGACAGCTGGTGCCGGAATCTGGTTCTCCGACTGTCCTGGTCCAAGAGAGCTGCCTCTCTTTTCTGGGAGGTTTGGCCACCACTGCTGCCTTTTATAACCTTGGTCTTTCCTGTCTCCAAATACCTCATGCAAGCTCTTTTGGTGCAAAATCCTCAAATTACCCAACAAGAGCTTGCGACAACTTTAAATTGTTCACAAGAAACAATTTCCAATCAATTGCGTGCACTTGGCAAAGTCCAAAAGTTTGGAAAATGGGTTCCTCATGAGTTGACCGACAACAACCGTAATCAAAGAGTCACAGTTCGCAGTTTGCTCCTCTCTCGTCAAAACCGTTTGCCGTTTTTAGAGCAAATTGTTACCGGAGATGAAGAATGGGTGCTGTATGTTAATTTGAAAAGGCGGCCTCAATGGTTGGACAAAAATGAGGCTCCGCAGCCACACCAAAACCTGACTTGCATGCAAAAAAAGTGATGCTGTGTATTTGGTGGAATTTTAAAGAATTCTTCATTATGAACTTTTACCATCTAACCAAACCATTACAAGTGCAGTGTATAGTGCCCAATTGGAAAGGTTAGCCCAAGCTTTAAGAGAAAAAGAACCCGCACTGATTAATTGGAAGGGCGTAATTCTTCACCACGATAACGCACGACCGTATACTGCAAGAATCACTGCTGAAAAACTGCGCCAGTTGGAATGGGAAGTTCTCCCTCAACCTGCATATTCTCCTGATATTGCCCCTTCCGATTACCATTTGTTTCGTTCTTTGCAAAACTTTCTTCTTGGAAAAAAATTTAATAATGAAGAATGCCTCAAAAATGCATTGACCGAATTTTTTGCATCAAAATCACAAGAATTTTACAACAGAGGGATTAAAATGCTTCCTGAGCGTTGGGCACAAGTAGTAGAAAACAACAGCAACTATATTGATGATTAAATTTTGTTGTATTGTTTAAATAAATTCGATTTTAAAAAGTATTAGAAAACAACATTAATTATTACTAGACCTAATAGAACAGAATAAAGGAGAAAAATTCTTCCCAAGCTCTCTGTTCTCCGGGATCGTTCATTCTTCGGAAAATGTTTCCTAAATGTCTGTCATGTGTGTGGGCCTCGTCACAACCTGGGTTCACAGAGATGAAAATGAAGTGTCCTAGTCTCTAAGGAGCCCCTGGGGCCGTCAGCACTAAAACGCTCTCTTCATGAAACCTCTGCTCTAGGGAGAGAAAGTCCTTCTAACCTGGTTTGTTTGAGTCACGTGTGCATGGAGCTGTCCTCTCATGGCCTCTTTACTTCCTGAGAATTTCCATTCATGCCCATCTGGCAGCTTCTGCCACCTGGACCTTGGGCCCAGGTTGTATAGTGAGCAGAGAAAAGGCTTTACTCTGGAGGGTCCACCCCCACTCCATGAGCTCCTCCTGACCCTTAGGGTTTGCATGATGACACCTCAGGATTGCTTCCTCCCTGCTCTTTCCTGCCCCTGAAGAACTTGGTTTTGCCCTCAGCTGAATCACTGTCTTCCCCAGTCTGCCCCATTGCTTTGGTTCCTCCAGCCTCTCCCCAGCCACCATCTTGGTGCAGTTGAGTTGCCTTGAGTCCAGAGCTTTGAGGCCTTGGCTACAAAAACAGCATAGTTCAGTGGGAACTCTGACTGATGTGTGCACATGAGGAAACGTGTCGAGTGAAAAGTTCGACTGGAGATTCTGATGTCCCTTCCAGCTCTAGCATTTCTGAAAAGGTACAATACATGCAAAGGTTGACAGCCTGGAAGGTTCTGGAAGGGTTCTACTGCGTCTGTCCAGACCTAGCACCAACACCTCGCGGCATTTTAAATGAATGTGGGCACCGAGCTTTGCTTCTGACTCTCCCACTCTCAGAAGAGGTCTCCTGGTTAGAGACGGCAGTGCAGGGAACGGGATGCTGAGGGCCAGGACACACTCACGCTGTTGTCTGTGGAAGGGTCCCCAGAAGAAGTGCTGCTCCTTCCTCCTCTGCTCTAGTTAGCACCCTTCTCTGTGCTGAACACTGATGAATAGACCCCCAAGGCAATGCTGGGTTCCCAACTCCGAGAGGGCCCACAGGGCACCACCATCTACTTTAACAAGCCGTGACATGCCAATTATTTGCTCTTCTGGAGAAACCTCAGCCTGAAATCTGTTTGATTGCCATGGAGATAATCTTTTAAACATAGCTTTTACATTCTTTAAAGACTTTTCCCTGTGGGAGTGAGAAGGTTTATCTGACCGGGGGGCGGGATTATTCATTTTTATTTCCAAAGGAAGGACTATACTACCAGGTGATAGTAGTGTGCACTGGAGGATTTATTTTAAGTCTGCCTCCTCACTGATAGTTTGTCAATGAGGTTGTAATAATTAGTTTGTAATACTGTCATACTTTTTCTCAGTGTAAACCTTGCACTTTGCTCTGCGATTCCAGGCCTGAATTACTTGATGTTTGAAAAGTATCCCTGTCTGGTTGGGTTCTATATTTATCCTGGATGTGGGTATCAAGTGCCAATGTCCTCAAGGGTTTCCTCTCAGGGAGATTATGCTTGTAAATCCATTAGCCTCAAAGACTACCTGGCGCTGTAGTCAGTCTCATACCCATTTTTCTCACCTGGGCGTCCCAGCGATTCATTAACTCTTCCCACTAGAATGCAAGCTTGGGCCAGCAGGGGCTCCAGCTGGTGTGCAACCTGGCAGCCCTAAGGCCCAGAGCGAGCCCTGCTCACAACAGATAGATGGTGAAAGTCAGCAGATCTTCATGTGAAGTGGATGTGCTGTATCAAAATAGGAACAATCCACAGAGTAAAGCAGAGCTGGTGGGCCCACGACCCTGTCCGCTGCTCTAGTCCTTTCCCCACATCACTACCAGCAATGGTCTGGGCAGTAGCTGCACCTAGTTCTGTAGACTGAGCTCTCTGGGCCTCGGAGAATAGACCTCTGGGGAGTAAGAAGATAAAAGGTGTAATTCTATTGAACGCAGAATTACAAGGTTAGAAAAAAGTTGTTAGTGGAAACCAGATTAAAACTTGGGCTTGAATCTCTCCTTCCAGGTCCTGCTGGGGAGAAGAGCTGGCCCAAGAACTACCCATCCTGTGGGGGCCTGATGCAGTCCCCAATCGACCTGCACAGTGACATCCTCCAGTACGATGCCAGCCTGGGGCCCCTCGAGTTCCAGGGCTATAACGTGTCTGCCAACGAGCAATTAACCCTGACCAACAATGGCCACTCAGGTGAGGGAGAGACCCCAGAGACCCGCAGGTGTCTAGCTTCCCTCAGCTGCCTGCCTGCCCTCGTCCATCTGCCGGGGAGGGGGCTCCACTGAGGCACGGGGGTGGAGGTGGGCGAGGGAGAGGGGCCCAGACCACTCCCTTTAGGGGTGCTGGGGGTCCTGGGCTCAGCCCCTTCTGCCAGGGCAGCACATGTCAGAAGAAGCACATGGCTTGGGGTGGGAAAGGGGACAGGTCCGGGTCCCTTTGGCCATTGGCTGTGGCGTGGGAGTGAATTCTTGGGCATCATGAACTCAAGGAGCCAAACAGTTCATTGCAGGCCTGCACCCAGGCTTTGGAGTCAGACAAGCCTGGATCTGAATTCTGGCTTGAGCTTTCATCTGGAAAATGGGCATATGAGGAGGGGGGTACTATGAAGATGAGAAAGTATATTGTTGGGATCTGTTATCCAGTAGATGCTCCATAAATGGCAATTATTAATGTTGCTGTGATAGAATTCTACAGCTTGGCAGGCGTTCATTAAAGGTTCTATCTTCAAGGTCAGGTGTGCGATGCATGGACATGTGAACAAGCATCCACCTGTTGGTCTAGTATCAGTGTTCCGCCATCATTTCCCATTTCCCAAGGGGAACCAGGAAGGTGCTGCTGCCGCTGGGATTGCTTTAGTCAAACAGGGATGTTCTCAGGGAAAGAGGCTCCTGACACACAGGCTGGGTTTCTTGGGTCTCCACCTTGCTGCATCCACCTGCCCCTGTAGGGGACCAGAGCAGGTGCTGTCTACCTGACTCTGAAGGTCCCCTCTCCCCTCCCCACAGTGCAGCTGACGCTGCCCCCGGGCATGCACATCCAGGGGCTGCCATCTCGCTACAGCGCCACACAGCTGCACCTGCACTGGGGGGACCAGAACGACCCCCACGGCTCCGAGCACACTGTTGGCGGGAAGCACTTCGCTGCCGAGGTGAGTGGGGTGGCCGGGCTGGCGGGAGCTGCCCAGGGTGGGTGACCTGGCATCCTTCCCCTGGGCTGGTGTGCAGAAGACCAGAGCACGGGGGTGGGGGTGGGGACTGTAAGATCAGTGATGGGGTGAGGGTGGGGGGCTCTGCCTTCATGCTCTCCACAGCCACACCCAGCCCTGTGAGCACTCCTCCGGCCACCCTGCAGCTCCTCTGTGGTGTCCAGTCCTCTTTCTCTTCTAAACAGGCTGAGTTTGTCTCTACATCGTTTACTGAGCCATGCTGCTCAGAAGGCAGTGCTCCCAGCGGGCACAGCGGGACACGTATGCCCGTTTTCTAGACATCGCTCTTCGGTTGGCACATACCCACCAGCTTGTCTAGCTGATGCACCCCCTGCTGAATTACACGGGGCTAACGGCTTCCCCAACTTCTCAGTCTTCTCCACATGCCACGTTGTGGGCACAGGTCTGTCCCGTCCCGTCTTTCCTTTCCCTGAACATGGGTTGTGCTTGGAACTTGGGACCCAAGTCCAGGGCTACCCTTTTACTTGGCCACAAACCAAGGGATGGCTGGCATCGTAACGTGCAGGGTGTCATGGCAACCAGAGACTCACCAAGGACAGCTTGGGGTGCCAACAGAGCCTTGTGTTACGTAGTCCTGAAGCACTAACCCAGAATGCCAGAGGAAGGCAGGAGGAGGCGCAGCACGTGCGATGGTGGGAGAGGGGAGAGTTGCTTTTTGTCAGAGCTCCCATGGACTTGAACGTAGGGTGTGTTCTGGATGTTTACAGGGCAATACGAGGAGGTAAATTCAACTGATCAGCCAGCGGAGCCCACAGTAAACACTGACATAACCGCTCTCTGTTCTTAATTGCTGAGCTGCTTAATGCCTCAGGCTAATGACAGGTTGAGCTGCGAATGTGGAAAGACTGTAATTCTGGCCCCGTCGCATGGCACTGCTGGAGGCGCCCATATTCCAGGCCAGGCCCCTCTCTGAACCCCCACAACTGCGAGTTCTTCCAGGCTAATTGCTGTGTGGAGGCTCCTACTTTCCCATGGGGAACAGAGGAGTTAGGGTGTAGGCGGGAGGGCTTGGACATTTAAAAATACTTCTAGTTATTGTATTTTCTGCTATTAAGCCACATCATCAGGCTAAGAGCCTGGTGAAGATGGACCATAGATGTCAGTAACAGAGAAAATGCACCAGGTTGCCCTGACTGGTTTGGCTCAGTGGATAGAGCATCGGCCTGTGGACTAAAGGGTCCTGGGTTTGATTCCAGTCAAGGGCATGTACAATACCTTGGTTATGGGAACATCCCTGGTGGGAGGTGTGCAGGAGGCAGCTGATCGATGTTTCTTTTTCATCAATGTTTCTAACTCTCTTTCTCTCTTCCTTCCTTTAAAGAAAATCAATAAAATATCTATTTTTAAAAATGCACCAGGTTAACCCTAAAGTGGCAGATTCTCTATGGAGGGTCCTTGGGAGTTGGAGGTTCTTCTGGATGGAGTGTGTGTAAGACAACTCCATCCTCTCAGCAGGGGCTTCCCTTCTGTTTGTATTAGTCTTAACCTTCTCTCTATTTAGTCTAAACACAGTGTCCACAAGCTCAAGGGTCATAGGTAAAAAGAAATAAGTCTCTAGGACCTCCGGGGTCTTAGCCATAGGATTCTGTTCTGTTTGTCAAAGCAATGCCAGGCAAGGATGGCGTTGGAGGCTGCATCCTTCGAGGAAATTGGGTGAGAAGGGGAAATGATGAATTAGGAGCCTCCAAGAAATTCTGAATAGAGGTCCACATTAAAAAAAAAAGCAGTAATTTGATGTAATTTTTAAAAATTAGAAAGGGCCACTTAAAAAGTGGGGAACATGGAGCTGTTCTCAATAAAATATCCTTGAATTCTAAATATAACCATATAAGATGGAAAAAGTGGCAAAGAATCAACAAAAATGCACGTGTCAACCTGTAGATCTACAATATTTACTAATATGTTTTTTTGGGAGAACAAATGACACCACCTTTAGGATTAAAAACCAGGTTATAAATGTTGTCAGAATTTGCCCCAACAATGTCTCAATGCTTACCTAGACTTGTTTTCACTTGAGACCAAATATTAGACCTGTTGTTTTCTCTACCTGAGGGATAAAATTGTACTGAGGATACAATTACAATTAAGTTACTAGCACAGTTAGAGGTTTACTGCCCTGGCCCCCACTGCTTCCAGACCAAGTGCATGGCGGCCAGACACTCGAGGCATTTTGCCCCGGGCTCCAGAACAAGTAAGGGAAATTAGAAGGGAGAAGTGTTCCCAAGTACCAGGCTGGTATAGAAACCCATTTGATGGTTCACTCATACTTCCTTCAGTATTACTGTGCAGCTGGTACTGTGCAAGCAGGATGTTAGACACAGGGATGCAATGAATGAGTAAGACGGACAGTCTGGCCTGGCAGTTTGCAGGGGGAATGAGGGAAAAGGGAAACTGAGGAGCCATGCAGGGAGGGTCTGAGAGGTGTGATCTACCTGGAGGGGAGGAGGGAGGTCGGTCCTCCCCATGGGACTCCAGTCTCTTGCAAAAGCCAGAAGTTCCCACGACTCGCCCATCCCCTCATAAGCGGCTTCTCGCCCCCGGCAGCTGCACATTGTCCATTATAACTCGGACCTGTACCCCAACGCCAGCACCGCCAGCAACAAGTCAGAAGGCCTCGCCGTCCTCGCTGTTCTCATAGAGGTAAGAGAGGTTAAGAGGGGCTTTGAGTGAAGTTTGAAGCTGGGATGATAGCAGACTGGGCCTTTGGTTCCATGCATACCGGTGTCTTGCCTCCAGAGCAGGTGTGTGTGTGTGTGTGTGGGGGGGGGGGTATTCCCCATAGAGTTCCTTCTCTCTTGGCCTGGAGGCAGCACATCCTGTGGCTGAGCAGCAGAAAGGGGCGTGTCCTTTGTGACAACGGGAAAATGAGCCCTAGTCCCCGGCCCCAATGCATAAGGGATGGAATTGCCCAGTTGGACAGGACATGTGAGTGTGAGTGTGTGTGTGTGTGTGTGTGTGTGTGTGTGTGTGCTGATGGTGGTGGTGCAGTAGGAATCATTTAGTTCTGTGCCTGAACTCCTGACACAACTCCAGGCACCCAAGGTCCATCCTTAGGGACCCTGGAATGAGTTCCTTCCTAATCCCAGAAAATGGGAACATCTCCTGATTCCCCAGCATCATTTTCCCCTAATGCAGTGGTCGGCAAACTGCGGCCCGCGAGCCACATGCAGCTCTTTGGCCCCTTGAGTGTGGCTCTTCCATGGAATACCACGGCCTGGGCGAGTCTATTTTGAAGAAATGACATTAGAAGAAGTTTAAGTTTAAAAAATGTGGCTCTCCAAAGAAATTTCAGTCGTTGTACTGTTGATATTTGTCTCTGTTGACTCATGAGTTTGCTGACCACTGCCCTAATGAGATAGTGTATGCCTTGTTTCTCAACATGCGCACCGCCTGACCTGGCTCCCTCGAGTTCCGGCTCACAGCGGGTGACCGGGGAGCGCGGGCTACATCCCGTCCAGCATTGGGGTGGAAACAGCACCTCCTGAGCTACAGGAGGCAGGATCGCTCTACCAACCCCGTACCAGCCGGGAGGCCCATCATATCTGTCCTCCTGAAGGGCATTCTTCAGGGAGGCCTGGCACAGTGACCATGGCCCCGGCCAAGCTCTCCCATCACCACTGTCGGCCCAGGCTCGCCTATAGGAATCTCTCCCAGTCCATCCCTGTCTCTGTTGCAGATGGGCTCCTTCAATCCCGCCTATGACAAGATCTTCAGTCACCTTCAGCACGTCAAGTACAAAGGTGAGGGGTCCTGGGTTGCCGTGTCGCCCTCTGGTGGGACGGATGCAGTGACTCCTGTGGGACCTGAAGGAAAATGGATGCGGAGGGCAGTGCCTGGGGCCAGAAAGGGGCTCGTTCACGTTTCTGGGCTCAGTCACCGGCTCCGCTGCCCCTCCGCGGTGGGGATTGAGGCCCACGCATCCCCCCCGACCCCCCTGTCTCTCCAGGACAGGAAGTGCACATTCCCGGCTTCAGCATTGAGGAGCTGCTTCCCCAGCGGCCGGCCGAGTACTACCGCTACCGAGGCTCCCTGACCACGCCGCCCTGCAGCCCCACGGTGCTCTGGACGGTGTTCCGGAACCCCGTGCACGTTTCCCGGGAGCAGGTGAGCGCCGGCCCCGCCAGGCCCCGCCGTAGCCTCCCCAGCGGCTCGCTGTCCTCACCTAGAGCTCCACTGGCTCCTGTTCCAACCGCCCGAATGCCACGGGCGCCTGGGGAGCGCCCTGTGCGGCTGTCAAGTCAAAGGAACCCGAGCCCGTCCCCACCGTTCTTTAAAAGAGCCGCTTTTTAAAGAGGTGCTGGAACTCTTGGCTCTGCCACTAGCCAGCGGTGACAGCACCAGTCTCTTCAAATCTAACCCTCACTGTCATCACCTGTGCGGTCAGAGGGGCAGAGGTGGCTGCTGAGGCTTCTGGCCTTCCGTCTCGCAATAGACTGTAAGCTAGAGGGCAGGGATTCCCATTTCCTCATTGCATCAGCCCCAGCTCCCCGGTTTCTGAACCGATTCTGAGTTGCACACAGGTGGCAGGCACAGGTATCTGCACTCGCCTTCCCCAAGCCTGGGAGGTGGGAAGACAGATCACCTTACCCCCCCGGACCCGGTCACCCAGAGGCCCACAGGGGAGGGGGCTGTTCTCTGGTCTTCCCGCTGCTCTCTGCTGAGTCTCTCTCTGCCAAGGCGCTGGGGGCAGAGAGGGGAAAGTCCCCTCCTGAGGTCAGGCCAGGGGGCCCTCACTCTGCCTGAGGGTGTGTGCCCCTCTCCCGCAGCTGCTGGATCTGGAGACAGCTCTGTACTGCACACACGAGAATGACCCATCACCCAGGGAAATGGTCAACAACTTCCGGCGGGTGCAGAAGTTTGATGAGAGGCTGGTGTACATCTCCTTCCAACAAGGTGAGGACTGCAGGGCGTGGGGGGAGTGTGGTGCCAAGGCATCCTTTGCTCCCCCTCCCTCAGGCTTTGTCCCGATGTCCTTGGGTGGGTTATGAGCTCTGTGGCCACCGCGGGAACCAGGGTGCATGAGGAGCTACTGTGTGGGGGGTTCACTGAGATCCCCTTCGTGCTCTCCACTTCCCTGAGCCTTCGTGGGGGGCGCGGACCGGAGTCCTCGTTAAGCCTGGGAGCCTCCCACAGCTGGGAGAGAGAGAATGCTCCGGGGACTCTCTGCTCTGGAGACCTACGCCTTCTCCTGAGGCATGTGGCAGCCCCATTTCATGGGATCACACTGCTCACTTCTCCTTCCAGGCTTTCTTAGCCCCAAGGCCCATCCCCAGCCTTGCTGGGGGGTTTGCCACCAGCACCATCAATGTCCAGGGTGCCCTCAGGGAGGAGGTCGTCCCTGGGCACAGCAGCTCACCGTCCAGGGCGGCAGGCCCGGACCCTCAGGCAGGCAAGCACCAGCCCTCACTGCCTTTCTGCCTCCTCCCCCGGAAGCTGCTCAGGCACCAGCACAGCAGCTACTGAAGGAAACTAACAGTTCGCTGTATCTCCACACACACACACACACACACACACACACACACACACACACACACACACCCGTGAAAGCCCACTCTCCCTTTTAAACCCAGAACTGTAACTCCCCATCTGGACTTGCTGGGCACCTACCTTCATACTGCAGGGTCTGGGAAAGGGGGGAAGGGAGCACCCCCGGGACCCACGCCCTTCTTCAGGCCTCCAAGGTTTCTCTCTCCCTGCAGAGGCTTGAGCTTTCCCCACCTTGGGAGTCTCACGTGGTCAGGGAGGCCGGTGGAAGGACCACTTCACCCTTACATGTCACCGGTGGCCGACCTGGGCCAGGTGCGCATATTTAGAGATGGCCCCTTCGCCCACGTGTGCCAACTGTCCTTGCCAGCTCTCCGCCTTGCTTTGTTCCTTTCTTATTGTGTGAGATTCTAAATGTCACCTACTAAGCTTAGTAAACATATGCAGATTGTATTTCAAAGCCCTGGTTAGAAAGCTGTGGAAGCACGCCCTTCTGAGTCACCCGTACCTGTACCTCCGGTCACTAGTAGGTCCTCCTCTGTCCATTGCTTGATCAAGAACTGCCCACGAACTTACCTTCTGGGTTCTCCCCTCCAGATACCACTCGTTAAGGTAATTTCCCCTTTCCTAAGGTGACCAGACATCCCGATTTTCTAACAATTTGTCCCGCTTCCCATGGCATTTTTAAAAATCGGGACTTTTTTAAAACGCCGAGGGACACGGGACAAATTGTTAGAAAATCGGGACTGTCCGGCCAAAAGCGGGACGTCTGGTCACCTTCCCCTTCCCCTCCATTTTCTGGCCTGAAAACGGAATCTGTGAACCACAGACCTTCCTGAAAATTGAGAATGTGTGTAATGTGACTTAGAGAGCTCTCAAAGACCGCAGATGTGCGGAATTCTCCCCCTGGATGTAACCTGCTCCTTTCCTGTTCCTCTAAACTGAGCAGATGGGGTCAAAGGTGAAACAGAAATTCCTCATCTCTTAACCAGAACTGAGAACTCTGCCTGCGGAGAGGGGACTTGCCCACGTGGACCGGGTGGACCTGGCTTGTGATTTGAGATGACAATCGGCTCTGTTCTCTGGGCTCGTCTATACACGTCCCAGGGGCCAGGGTGGCAAACGCTCCCCTGTGGTCAGGACACGTAGGTCTAAGAACTTACTCTGTTTCCTCCCGACCGCATGATGTGGGCAAACGGTGTCCCTCTTTGGCCCTGGATCCCTGGCCGTGGACTCACGGGCTGACCCCCTTCCAGGGGCGTGTGCTGACCCTGAGTGGACACTAACGGCCTCCCATCCTGACTTTGCGTTGCAGGGACAGTGTTTGAGGGCGGTTACAGAGGATGAGAAGAAGCCATGCAGGAGCTTGAGGCTGACATCCCAAAGTAACCCCCGCGTGTAACGATGAACTGTGGCGTTGGGAGTAATTAGCCATCTTCTTAGACCGGCGCGGGTCTAAGCTGGCGCTTGTAGAGCGGGCGGTGCCGTCGGGGCGTAGTGGGGTGCTTTGTAGACCGCCCAGGTGGTGAAGGGAGCGGCCCCCAGGCCGAGTCCCAGCTTTTAGGACGTCAAGATCAGGCCCAAATGCAGCGTTGCCACTGCCCGCACCACGGGGCTCAGCCAGAGCTGCCGCTGGGAAGAGCCCGGGCTGGACCAGCTCTCTCCTTGGAGGGAGACTCCATGGCAGTCCCAGGCAAACCTGCTCATTTGGAGGCTGATTATAGAAACGTGGCCAGAATTCTCACTTCCAGAGGACGCGGGCAGCCAACGGGGCTGGTACCAAGGAGTAATGAGGAGGCAGCCCCCCAGGAGTGAGGCCCCAAACCAGGGCACTGCACTCAGGAGGCCCTCTCACACCGGCTGCCTCGCCGGGGGTGCAGGTGTGAGGGGGAGCAGGTGTGTGGGTGAGCCTGCTCGTCAGTGAGCGCCCGGAGCTGTTTGGACTCGATTATTTGCACACTGTCTCAGAGGCGTGTTTGCAATTAGGTGTGGTTCCCTCGGGTTTTCTCTGGAAGTTGTCAGGAACAGCCGAGTTGGAAAACTGCCTGGAAAAAAGTCACCGGAAGGATATCCTCTGGGAGAGAAAGTGCATGGGCTTTGCAAGGAGGATCTGAGACTTAGCCAGAGTGGAGCGATTTAACGTGAGCCTGCCTCTTCCTCGGCTGTGCTCAGAATGGAGGACGGGACCTGGGTTCTGTCCTCAAGGGGGTGTCGTCTAACCATGACTGAGCCCCACGGCAGGGCTTCCCAGACCGTGCATTTGGGTCTGGACGGTTCCTGCTGTGGGGCTGTCCCGTGCATTGCAGCTTTAGCAGCGTCTGGTCTCTGCCCACCAGATGCCTGCAGCACCCCAACCTGTAACAGCCACAGCTGTCTGCAGATGTGGCCAGATGTTTCTGGGGCCGAGGGGCAAAATTGCCCTGATGGAGAACTACTGCCCCAGGCGTGGACAGGGACTTTTCTGTCACAGGACTCCAGGGTATTACACCACGAGCCCTGGGAAAGAGGTTTGTAATCTTTGGGATGAATAGTTCTCTCACCCATTTCTCTTAGCCTTGGACATACCCCATTACATAAAAAAGATACTCAAGTTCTACAGCACATGTGTCAAACACAAGGCCCGCAGGCCAAATCTGTCCCGCCAGGCCTTGCAATGTGGCCCGCACCGCGCTGTCATCACTGCACTCCGCTGCGTTTCCATCACAATGACAGTTTATGACTGTTCAGCAAACCATTCGGCCCGCGATTTAGGCTGGATTTTAGATTTTGGCCCCTTCTCTGATTGAGTTCGACACCCCTATTCTACAGGAACACGAGGCCCAGAGTCCCTCTTGGGTTTGATTGTTTGGCATGAGAAACCCCAAGCTTATTATTTCAGGGTAACCTTCCTTCTCCAGACTGAGAATGCCATGTGGCACTAGAGTCACCACCAGGGCTCCTGGTGTAAAACTGGAGTTCCCCTCCCTCCCTTTAGTGCAAGGTTTTCTCGCATTGTTGCCTTTGGTGAAAATGCCCACTCTTCCTGGAGAGGCGACAGTCAGGCCAGGCACTTTCCACAGCTCCTACAAGGTGCCCCCACTGAGTGACACAAACGGAAGCTGGACTGAGGAGGGGAGAGCAGGCTCAATGTCCTTAAGGCGGGATCCGGAGAGAGGAGCACATCCCGGGACCATTCCCGCCTCACAGGAAGCCAGATGCCCCTGCGAGGAAGGGAAGGCCTGCAGAGGCGGAGTCACTGGAGTCCAGGGGCTCAGTTCTTGGTTCCTGCAAACTGACTCTTCTTAGCCTCAGACACCGACACTGGGTCCAGATGGTGATGGGCGACAAGGCTAGAGCTCGTCCAACCTGAGTACTCATGTTGTCTAGCCCTCTTTTCAACATTGAGGGACAAGAGGAAGCCACAAAGTTTCTATAATCCTGTCTTATGGGCCTGCGCTGAGCAACTGCATGTCCCTGCAGTAGGAGCAGAGCGGGCTGAGGTGCAGGTACACAGAAGGGCTGCACTGTGGTGATGGGGACGGGGGTGTGGGGGGGTCTCACCCACAGCAAATCTGCGGAGTAGCCCGATCAGATTTTGCTTGACCCTAAGGAACCTGGGTCTTTTTAGAAAACCTTTGAAAAAGAGGTAGAATCAAAAGCTTACAAAGCTAAGATGGCTAATTATCTAATGTTTTGAGACTGGAATGGATGCTATGTGGTTATTGACCTTGTGTTTCTCAAAGTTCCTATTTATAAATAAACTCCATGAGATGGGAAAGGATCAGTTCTTCCAGAGCACCCCAATGACAGCCCAGAGGAGCGCCTGCCTTCCAGCTGCCCCAGGGGGCGGGGCTGGCGGGTCAGGAGTAACATCCACGGGCTGAGCAGCGAGTCCCAGTCCCTTCATCCAAGGCAGCTCACCACCCCTCTGGCTTTCGGCGCACAGCCAGGCTAGCTCAGTGGGGAACAGAGAGCCCACAGTGGGCCTTGCCTTGCCCCTAACAAGCCTCTGGCCCAGAGCAGACCGTGTTCAGAAACGACAGTGGGCAAGGGGGTCCGACCGGGAGCTGGAACTGCCTTGGCGAGGTGGCCTGTGACCTGCCCATCGCCATCTCCCCAGCACCAGCCACACTGTCAGCCCCCTCCTAGCCCGGCGGCTGTCTCTGGGTGCGTACCCCATTTGCTTTGCCTACACTGTTCCCATTGGGAGGCCCCTCGCCTCTTCCACCTGCAAAACCCTTTCAAAGCCCAATTGCAATCATGTCCTCCCAGAAGTCTCCCAGTCCCCCTGACTGCAACTTGGTCTCCTTCAAGAGAAGCTGGAGTCACGTGCCGTCTCTGTGACTGAGGGCACCGCAGGGTGGTTTGTTGCCGCACGGAAACAGAAAGATGTCTAGCTTGTCCGCACACCACAGGCGCCGTAAGAACAGGGACGATGGGAGTCTTTCTCACTTTTTGTGCCTGGCCCTGTGCCTGGCGCTCATGACAAGTTTGAAAGAATGTAACCAACCTGTCTCCCTTCCCCGTCCCTCGCCAGGGTCTTCTCTGCAGAATGATTTGAACATAAGCCTGGTGGATTGTTACCATTTAGTTTTATCTTTATTTTGCTTTGCTAACAGTTTGCCAACAGCATTAAAATCAATTCACTTGTTTAAGAAAAACTAAAGATGGGAACTTAGCTATGAAGGCCTCAGGGGGGAGTTGCCTAGAGCTGCTACCAGGCTTTCCGGGGCCCCGACCTGATCAGGATAAAAGTCCCCCTCACCACCCATCCTCCCTTCAGCAGGGATAGCGCCATGCACCCGAGGCGGGCACTGTAACCCGCGCCTACTGCCCTAGAGCCGTGCAGCCCCCTCTCCTGGGCCTGCATTCCTGCAACCTGGAATTCCTGCAAGCCCTCCCTCCTTCCCTATTACAGTCGTAGAAAACCAGTTCTCTCATGTGATCCCGTAGTATCTTCTCAGCCGACTTATTTGTCAAAATGACTTCTTTCCTGGATTATTTCCTCATAGTGTTCATAAGGACAAGTCCCCAGGTAGGTCCTCCAAGGATGGTGATGTTCTGCGATGACTGAGCCCATCTTACCAAAGCATCATCCTGGTGAGGGCTAGCGTGTCGCTGCCTGGAGTCCGTGACTTGTCTGAAGCAGGATAGTCAGAGTCTTACCATTCGGAATGGGATTACCCAAACGCTCCCTGCCTCTTTCTGTTTTCACTACCTAACATGGCCCCTACCAAAACATGGTCCATACTTTAAAATAATCCTTAGAAAAGGACTGTATTCCTTTTTACTCAGAATTCTGTCTGAGTAAACAGAATTGCCAATAGCCTGGAAAAGGCTGGACTTGTTCCAGGAACTCCGAGCTGTGTCAACGAGGTGCTTGCTCCTCGGCTGGACCTTTCTGTCTGCGCTTGAGGCCTCAGAAGACCTCAAGAGCAGTTAAGCCGCAGCCCTCGGCCCAGCATGATGCCCGTGGAAGCCGCAGCTCCTGAGCCAGCCAGACCAGGTAGCAGTGCCCCCGTGGCAGGCAGCCTGCCCGTCCTCTGAAGCTGTCCCTTCTGGGCGAGGCATGTGATGGTCACGGTATCTGTGTGGTTTCCTTGTGAGTGTCGGATCGCCCTGTCTCTGCTCGCCCTGACATGCACCGGAGCACATTACGGAATTCGGACAGATGGCTCCCTCATGTCAGTGCAGCGTGCCCCGTTACCCGAAGCTCAGGGGCTCCTCCCTTGTCTCTCATCCAGGGACTCTCGTGTCCATCTCTGTCCACCGGCCTCCCTCTGTTTCTCCTGTCTGTCCCACTGACCTTCAACGGGAACAGCTTGTCTTGTTCACCATCAGAACCAAACCATTTCTTTGTTGAATCTACAGATGAATTTCTCAAGCTCTGTCTCTCCCGCATCATCTTGGATGCCTGTTCCCTGCAGCATCCCGGAAGCTGCTGTGATGCAGGCTTTGGTTTCTCTCTCTGGGCCTGAATCTCCGGTCACCCCAACAGCTCTCTCTGCGGCCCAGAGCCTCCCGGCTCCCCCTCACCCTTTAGTTCGTAGATGCTTTGGTGTCCGCCTTCCATGGGACCCCAGCCCACGGCTTCGCCCTGCTCCGCAGAAAAGCCCCGCTTCCGTGACGGTTGGTGCTGCAGGAGGCGGGGCGTGGCATCCCGTCACCTTCCTGCCTGGGCTTCTGCAGGCGCGTCTCAGAGGTGGCTGACGCTCTGTACTTGCTCAGTCAGGCTGCTTTGCTGAAGCTGCATCGAAGTTGTGGTTGAAAGCTTCTGGCCCAGCCTTGGGGCGCCCCTGGTTGCGGTGCTGGCTCTCCTCTCCCTGTTCCCAAGCAGGGGCCCCCTGGCCCTCACAAGGAGAAAACCAGGCCATTGTGCACGGGCCCCATGCAGCACGGCCACTGCTCAGGGAGCCAGGCAGGCGGACTCTCCCTCCAGACCAGCCACCAAGCGGGGCTCTCGAGAGAAGCCCATTCCCGGAGGCCTGGCCTCCGCAGGCTGCCCAGCTCCCCAGGCCACGGGGCGGGCACCCCCTCCAGCCCCGGAGCCCTGTCGGCTGTCCGGGCCTGTGGCTCCCGGGACACGTGAGGTGACTGTGAAGATGGTGACGATAGAAACTGTCGAGTTTGGACGGCTCAGCCAAGTGGTTGGGCTTCCTAGTTACAGCCTCCTGTGGTGAGAACTGGTTTGGTACCACAGGCATCTGGAGTTTTAGGAACAAAGAACAAAGGTGTATTTCATCGAAAGGCCTAGAAAGAAAGCCATGACTAGTTGGGGTTTTCTGGGTGGTTGATGTTTTTAAGGTCCTAGAGGCCTCGGTCGCCTCCAGGTTCCTTAAAAGGAAAAACACACCCAATACCAAATTCCAGAGCACGGAGGCCACAGCCGAGCGGGGAACAAGCATGAGCTGCACAAACACGACACTCTCCCGGGGGAAAGTCGTGTCCTGAGGGCCTCCCGGGCCACACACGGACCCGGTGTTCAGGCGGGGAACCACTTGGGAGGCCATGGCTACCGGTGGTGGCTGAGAGCAGGTCACCCTGTGCTTGTGGCCAGCTCCTCCCCACACCTGCCGCTTATCCGTACGGCCCCCAGGCCCACCTGGGAAGCCGGACCAGAGACCCCAGGGCCGGCCTTGGGCCGGGAGGAGGCTGCAGACTCAGTCTGAGATTGCAGAATCGCAGGGAAGGACACAGGCAGATGGCCCGAGGGAAACAGCCTGACACTGGCCACACGGCAGAAGGCGTGAGCAGAGCCTCACGGTGTCTCAGGTCTGGTTCCCTAGGGTGTCAAGTGACCCCAGGACAAGGGCCTGGCCCTCTGCGGGCACTTCGCACCTGGCCAGGGCTCGCCCAGGGTCTCAGGGCCACACGGGCTCTCCTTAGTGTCAGGCTGGATGGCCCCTCCTGCACAACCCCTGCCTCCACCGAGAACTGGAGCAAACATCCACACATACAGGCCGCTCGTTCCTCCCGAGTCAGAGAAGCGCCAGACAAGAGGGGTGGAGGCAGAGGCTGGTTTAGACGGAGGCCCTGCTGGGAGGAGGAGGGGTGGTTTTAAGAACGGGAAGGAGCAGGCTGGGCACCCAGAGGCTCCAGGACTGGACTCCCTGTCCTACGGGAGCAGATGGAGTCACCACGCCCCTCCCCTGGGGAGGTCCCAATAGGCTAAGGTGGTTAGATGTCCCGCTTTTGGCGGGACAGTCCCGATTTTTAACAATTTGTCCCACATCCCGAGGCATTTTTTTTTTAAAAGTCCTGATATTGGGACACGGGACAAATTGTTAAAATCGGGACTGTCCTGCCAAAAGCGGGACGTCTGGTCACCTTACAATAGGCTGACTACAGGATCTCACCTTAGGCACTGGGCACTATGTCAGCCCCACTGAGGACGTCTAACTCGCCCCATTATCTGCCACAGTAGCTGCTGAGAGAAGCCGCACTCCGCTGGTCCCACGTGGCACAGGAGGGAGGCTGGTGTGGAGGCGTTTCTCATTTAACCAGTGGGGCCGGAGTAATAAATAATAGCACCAAACCAGGACAACAAGCCTGGCTGGGGACGGAGCAGAAGTGTGGGGACAGGTTCCAACCACACTCTGCCAGCCCTGCCAGCCAGACACGGCCGGCTCCTTGCTGGGGAAGAGGGGTAGGTACCAGAGAGCCAGGTGACAGCCTGCCATGCAGAAGGGGACGCTTAGCCTTCCTCACTTGCCACCTGGGCCGCTTCGTATGAAAAGCTGAAGTCCGGCCCAGGCAAAGAGCCTGCTGTGATCAGAGAACATCCGAAGGAGGGATCACTGTGGGATCCCCTCGGCGGGCCAGGCCCTTCACCCCGTCCGCCTAGTACCACCAAGCCAACGACAGGTAGAGCTTCCACACACTGGCCTTGCCCACCACGGCTTGACTCGGTTAACTTCCCATCTTTTCCTTCCCTTTCAAAGAGCGAGACCTCACCTCCGCAGGACTGAGCCTGGGTACGTGGCCGCCGGCCGTGCATGCTGCCGCGGGTGATGGCTGTGATTCTCAGTGTGATCTGGGCCTGCGGCTCTTCCTGCCCTTCCTCTGTGCTCCTCTGTGCTGCTGCTCTGGCTCCGGCCCTTCACACTGGGGGTCTCACCCTCACCCCTCTCTCTCTCTGATTCAAAGGGGCACCGCCAATCAAACGCTCCCAAATGAAAGACCTAATCACTCCGTACAGCACGTGTGCATTCACAGAGCCTGTCTCCGATCTCGGTTGGCCATGGTGGAAAGCCATTGCCTGACAACATGCCTGGGCCCCAGGGGGAGGTGGGGGGGTTGGCGAGGTGACCTCGGGGAGGGGCCCCTGATTGCTTTTGGACTGTTTAGAGCTGTGCAATGGAACTTGGGGGGCCACCCTGATACAGAGGCATCCCCGTGGGCCTTAAGCCCAATAAGCAAAGGTGGAATAAGTTCTTATTCTGTAGCCCAGGGTTTCTCAAAGGCTGGTACATGGACCACATACATCAGCATCAGCTTGAGGAGTTTTAATAAGAAGGCAGATCCTTGGGCTCCATACCCAGACTGAATTAGAGTCTCTGAGGGTTGGACTCAAAAAAGTCTATGTGTTAAACAAGCTCTTCAGACGATCCTGGTGCCCATTTGAGAACCCCTGCTGGACAATGACCACAGTCTGCAAGTGGCCCCCTCAGCACTCCAGCCAGTCCTGCTCAGACCAGAGATAGGGAATGACTCCTTCCAGTGGATGATTATGTACCTGCCCTGTGCTGTCACACCATGTGCTGTGGGGAAAGAGGAAGGGGAGGGAGGCATGTTAACACGTGTTCACTGCCTCTTCACCAGGAATCATTCTTTCGGTGGCCCTGGCTTGCATCCTCGGCATCTGCATCGTCCTGGCAGTGTCCATCTGGCTTTTCAGAAGGAAGAAGAGGTGAGCTGGTTTTGCTGGGAAGCAGGGGTGGGTGGCGTATGTGTCCATGAGGAGGAAACCGTCTTGGAAGGCAGACGGCACAGTTGAGAGCCCCCGCCCCCGGTACCAACACAGCCTGGGAGCGCTGGTTCCCACACGCCCCTGGCTCAGGCCTCCTTTGCATGAGATGCTGGTCGTACAAGGGTCGTTACGCTGGAGGTTCTGCCAGCCTGGCTGCTGTGGCTAAAACCTTGGATGGGGCTCTGGGTGGTGGTGGTGGTGGGTGGGGGGAGTCCCATTTGCCTAAATGTAAGCAGCAAGGCTGTCTTCCAAGACCTTTACATGTGGTGTGTCGTCGTCTTCTTCTTCTTCTTCTTCTTCTTCTTCTTCTTCTTCTTCTTCTTCTTCTTTATATATATATATACTTTTTATTGAATTAATTGGGGTTATATTGGTTAACAGGTTTCAATGTACAATTCTGTAATACATCATCTGAATATTGTGTGTACACCCCCCCGGGTCTAATTTCCTTCCATCACCACTTGTCCTCCCTTTACCCTCTTTCACCCTCTTCTACATCCCTTCCCCCAGGTACTGTTGTCTGAGTCCACAAGTTTGATTTTCTTAACCCCTTCACTTTTTCACCCAGCCCCTCAACCTCCTGACAGCTGTCAGTCGTTCTCTGTACCTATGAGTACGTTTCCATTTTGTTTATTTTGTTCCGTTAGATCCCACATATGAAATCATATGGTATTTGCCTTTTATGAATCCCAAAAGAAACGTGAAGGAAAATTTCATTTTCCACTCACTTTAGCTACAGTGCCCTCTGCTCATATTTCATTGTTATGTTTGTTCCCCCCCCAAAAAAAACAAAAACAAAAACAAAAAAAACCCAATGGATGTTTCCTGGCATGAAAAAAAAAAAAAAAAAAAAAAAAGGTTGCCAGGAACCCTGCAATGGAGTCAAAGGTTTGAAGCAAGGGTGGTAACGAGATCTTCTTCAAAACGCAGGCCTAGCACTGCCAGGCGTTAAAAAGGAACAGTTGGACAATGAGCCGATCCCATCTTGGTTCATGCTTTAGATGCAGCCATTCCCGCTGAAAACAGACAGAAAAGGTCCCGAGACAGGAATCTGCTTCCTAACACTCGCCTCATTACCTAGCTGAGCAAAGCTGCGCTCGGCCTCTCTCCCCCTTTGACTAACGAGCTGTGTGTGTCCCTCTCCTTCCAGCAGTAAGAAAGGCAGCGGCAATAAAGGCGTCATTTACAAGCCGGCCCTCAGGAAGGAGGCGGAGGCCCACGCCTGAGGCCCCGGCGCTGCAGGCACCGCGGACGGACTTTGCTTTGGATGCTTTCACACGGCGGCGCCCTGGACACTGGAGCTACCCGAAGGTTCTGTGCAGCTCACCCCACAAACACCCCAGACCCGTGGGGGCCTCTAGCTGGGTGCCCCCCACCCTGATGTGCGGCCTCTCCCAGGGCGATCGTGGATGGGAGAGCTCCCCGGGAGCGGGGACTCGGAGCTGTGTGCTTCATCTGTGTGAGACCAGAAGCGGTCGGGGCTCTGGGGACACACACCACGTCGCTGTGGGGGCTGCGATAATGGGAAGTCACTTTCTCCAGGGCTTCACTCAGGTCAAAGGTCAGCTCCTCGTCTAAGCTTTCGCACCAGCGCGTACCCATGCACACCCTCTACTTTGGTTTGCTTTGAAGACTCAAGTCCTGCCTCAGGGAAGCCGGTGTTGTCTTCCTCTGACCCTCCTACTGTGACATGACCTTTAGTCTGACCGTGGGGGGTGGGGGGGTGGGGTGGGGGGGGTGGGGTGGGAAGCACAGGCACAGGGTCCAGGTGCCTGGGATGAAAGAAAGGAGATAGTCTTTGAAAGATGGAAGGGCATCTTCCCAGTCCTGTCCTTTGGGTCAGACATGCCGACCAGACTGTAGAGAGCATGGGAGACATGGTCTGAGGGATCTTGGAAGCTGTGAGTGTGAGAAGGACAGAGTAGGGAGCCCAAGCCCACATGCCCGTCCGGGGGGCAGTGCGGGTTGATGCTCTGTAGATGTTATTCATAATTGGGCCGCCCCTGGAACAAGAGCTGTTGCTTTCTCTCTCCTGAGCAGACGTGAGTTCTGAGAATCTAGGATAGGGGTGTCGAACTCAATCAGAGAAGGGGGCAAAATCTAAAATCCAGCCTAAATCGCGGGCCGAATGGTTTACTGAACAGTCATAAACTGTCATTGTGATGGAAACGCAGCGGAGTGCAGTGATGACAGAGCGGTGCAGGCCACATTGCAAGGCCTGGCGGGACGGATTTGGCCCGCGGGCCTTGTGTTTGACACATGTGATCTAGGAAATAGGCAGAAGCAAAGTGACTGATGAGCTTTGACTCTTTTGCTTCAATTTCATTTCTCACTCCTTCGTGGAACTGGGATTTGGCTACTTCTCTGAGGACCGAGCACAGCTTAGTCAAAAAGTATTTTCAAGGCATGACAGCAGAGCGTTTTCTGTGCCGGGCTGGCAACAAACGAAAGGACTGTTCCCAAGATCCCTCATGGTCTCCCCCCCAAGACCCAAAGGCAGCTCCTGAGGAGACAACTCCTCCACCGTCCCCTCCGATGGAAGAGCCCAGGCCCGAGCAGGGGCCCCCGCCGCGGCCTCTCGGGTCCGCACCCCCCAGCTCACAGAACCCGCTGGTTCCCAGCCTCATCTGACAGCATGGAATGTCCCCCTGAAGCACGGTCCCTTTCTGTCCTCCCTCCCCTCCTGCTCTCCCTCTGACCCCACAGGTCTTCGCCACTCTCCACTCTCACCACCGCCCCAGTGAGCAGGCCTGCGCCTCTGGCTCGTGTGCCTGGCAGTTACGCCTGGCCCCGCGGCGCCAGGGAGACGTGGGTGTCGCGAGCCTCTGGCAGGGCCGGGGCCTGGGTGGCCTCGCGTGCTGCGGTCAGCACACCTGACGCTGGTCCACCCACAGCAGGGACAACCCAGTGGGACCAGCGACGTAAACAAGGCAATGCTTTCTTGGCCTCGGCCCAGCGTGGCCCTCAGAAACCAACACGAACCGCTCAGCGCAGTGGGACCCACTCAGAGAGCTCTCTGCGCCTTTGGCAGATACGCTTTGAGAACAGAGAGATCCCTGGGCCTGGCAATGGCTTTCATAAGAAGAAAGACTCACTGGGCAGTGAAAGCGGTGGCATTTCTCTTGCCCTCTTCTCCCCATAGCTCAGGCTCTGGCCTCCCGGCTGAGAAAAACAGAGCCAGGGAAGCGAGCAGAGGCTCCCAGAGCCAGCAGGCAACCTCCCTCCAATCCTCACCGGCTCCCGAGGCTCCGCCTCTGGGACTGGGGCGCCTCCCCTCCGGCTCTCACGGACCCCACTGACCCCGGCCACAGCGGAGGGAGGGAAGCCTGTGCGTGGGAAGGGGGGGGGGGGTGGCGGCCTGGCTTTGTGTCTCTCACTCGTGGGGGTCAGGGGTCTCTCCATTTCGTTTCTTCAGTTTCATCTGATAAAACAGTAAAAACCGACACCTGTTTTCTTAATAGATATTCTAAGATTTTGCTGCATGGACTATTCATTGCATTTCAAGTTCAGACCTTAACTTCTTCCCCCCTCCACTCAGCTCTCCGAGCGCCTCCTGGCTGGCCCTTGGGGAGCACCGGGGTCCGCAGCACCCCTCTGTCCCCGTGCCTGGGACGGAGCATGGCCACTGTGACGAAGGTCTGTTCAGCACTTATGTATTTATTGTAAGGATGATTGTAATGAAGACACTGTAAATATGAGAAATTATAAATAAAGTTTTTCACGGGAGACTGATTTTGGGAGGTGAGGGGAAAGCACGTGGCAGTTCCCAGGGTAGGGTGACAAGTAACCAACCAGAATGAACAGCAGAGCCGTCTGCATCCGGGTCTTAGAACCTGGCTCCAAAGGTCCCACACGGAGGTCCTTCGTCCCTCTAGGGCGGGTGGAGGCCTGTGGCGCCTGCAGCCCAGGGTCACAGCCGCTTCCCCGGAAGTGATGAGGGAAAGAGCCTTGAAAACTAAGTCAGAAGAAAAGAGCAAGCTATTCTTCACCAAAGTGCCATGAACACGGGAAACGGGTCGCATGTCCCTTTACTAGATATTCTACCTCGTAGGGTGGCAGCCTCTCTTGGTTGCCTGAATGTGACCTCATTCTGGATCCTTTTTACAAAACACACTGTCCCCCTCCTGCCATCTCTTGTCTAAGTCCACACTTCAGATTCCGGTTTGCTGAAGAAGCCAGGCCATCCTGGTGTACTTGACTTTCTTAGGAAAGCTCCCGGCTCTCACTTCAGTCGCCCCAGGGTGGAGATGGGTGCCATGGAAGTCACCCCCCGTCTCCCCCCACAGCCCTTGCCCTGCTCCCTGCTCTCAGCTCCCTGGCAGTGAGGACGGGAAGTGTGGTGACAAGAGCCACAGGCTGGCCCAGGAGACCCCAGTCCGCCCTCAGCGTGGCCATCGCCTCCTCATCGAAATCCAGCCAAATGGACAAGCTAAGCACACAGCCCAGCAGGAATACAATAAAATATAATGTAAGACGTGACATTTTAAAGTTCTAGGAGCCACACCCCAAAAAAAGTAAAAGAAACCAGTGACATTAATTTTACCATATTGTATGTAACCCAATAGACCCAAAATACTATAGTTTCAACATGTGATCAATATTTTTATATGAAAGATTTTCATTCGTGTGTTGTTTTTTCATAGCAAGTCTGAAATCTAGTGTGTATTTTACACTTCTAGCACATCACAATTCAGAGGCTCCATTTTCACTGAAAACATTTTATCCATATTTAGACTACATAAAATTTATAGTTGGAAAAGCAGATTTACATACTCGCTCCAAATACACCCAGAAGTTTTCCAAATAACTGAGTCAGTGGTCAGCTTTTCAATGTAAACTTCTGAAAATAAAATAAACGGAGTCTCTCTAGTCTCACTGACCACCCTCCAGTGCTCAGGCGGCCCATGTGGCCAGGGCAGGACGGCCCTGTGCGGATGTGGGAGGCTGACCTCTTCCTTTGAGAGGTTAGACCCAGAGGACTTTCACACAAAGATAAACACTGGCAGAAAGCTCTGGAAGGGCGTGAGGGGCGGGGGTGGGAGACAGAGGATAGGAGGACTGGGAGGCAGATACAGAGGGCGGAGGGCGGTAGGAAAGAGGGCAGGTGGAAAATCAGGCCTAGGCGAACAGACCAGCTGACCTTAGACCAGCTGCAGGCCTCCTCCCACCTCCTTCCCTGGCTCAGGAAGGAGCACTCCCCAGCCCTCCCTGCCCTGGCCATGCCTCTGGGCCATGCCCCGGAATCCAGCCTGGGGCGCCCCAGTGCCTTGTGGGAAAGTTCTGGCTGTGGACACAAGGGCGCCTGGTTAATTGCCAGGGACCTGATGATGTGGGACCCTGACCCAGGGCTATCTGCTTCCCCGCCCAACCTCCACCTCCTTGGTCCTGACATTCCTGCACCTGACAAGGCAGTCTCCACTCCAGCTCCAGGAGACCAGCACCTCTTGGATTGTCAGTGGTGCCTCTGTTAGAACAAGTCACCTTGCTTCCTTTGAGGCGGAGGGAGAAGTCTTGAGGCCCACTTAGAAGAGGAAACCAGACCTCTGGGGCTGCCCGCGGGGAAGCGGGCTGTCACCTGTGCAGTGGGCACTGCTCTGGCATCACCATCCATGTCCACATTGGAAATGGCCTGGCAGGCACGCATGGCCCAGGGTGTGGCGGAAGGTGTGGAGGGTCCCCATGCCTCACCCGTGCCCTCTCATTATTGAATGTCTGGGCAGAGAGGTAAGGGCCCAAGTGCTTTGTGGTATGGAATGACTCGCCATAACCATTTATTGCAACCAGAGGTCAGCATATCATTGTGACTGCAGGTCACCCCGGGCTTCAGTGTTGCCTTTCACTTGTTTGCCTTCCCTTGAACAACCCAGGGGAGAGGGAGCAAGGCCCTCATCTTACAGGTGGGAAACGAATCCAGGGCTCTGGCTCCGGGCTAAGCTGAGGCCACACAGCTCCTGCGGTGCTGGGCTCTCCAGGGACAGTGTGGGGTGCACCTTCCACAGCTCCAGTGGCATGGAAACACCTTCTTGTAATAGAATTTACGGTGCTGATCTCATTCATGCCGTAACCTCATAAAACCCCACAGGCTGAAGGCACTAAAGAGTCTCTGCCAATGATTTCTGGAAAGTCAACAACAACCCCCTGCCCCCAATCTGCCTGGTAACATTAAACCCTGGCCTCTGGTCAGGAAAGTCTGACCGAGGAGTGACAACTGAAAGCGAGCAAAGGAGTCAGCCCAGTGCTGGGCAGGTACAGATTCAGCAGAACAGATTCCCAAGGACACGTTCACTGAACCCTCCCTTTTCCTAAGGCTGAACCGGGGAGAAGGAACACACCTACACAGTGTAATTCCATCCGTATACAATTCCAAAGTATGCGAACCCCAGGGATAGAAACAGGTCAGTGGTTGACTGGGGATGAGGTGGGGAGGACAGGGGGGATGAAGGGATTGCGAAGGGGCAGGAGAAATTGTTGAGGTGAAGATGTGTTCATTACCTTGATGGTGGTGATGGTTTCTCCACATATGTCAAAACTGTTCACTTTTTATACTTTAACTATGTGCCATTTATCTTATATCAATGATAACTTAATAAACCGGTGGGTAGAGCATCAGCCTACGGACTGAAGGGTCCCAGGTTCAATTCCGGTCAAGGGCATGTACCTTGGTTGCAGGTACATCCCAGTAGGGTGTGTGCAGGAGGCAGCTGATTGATGTTTCTAACTATCCTTCTCCCTTCCTCTCTGTAAAAAATCAATAAAATATATATTTAAAAAAAAAAAAAAAGATAACCTGCAAAAAAAAGGGTGGAGTGTGAAATACTCCCCCACCTTCAGCCCGATGACACCCTGCCCTTTCTGGCAGGTCCATCCAGAGCTTATCCTCCTGGTCCATCTGGAAACGTGGTGGGCGCCCAGGCAGCATGGTCGCTGTTCACCTGGCTGGACATGACCTCTCAATACTCTAAGTCAAAGTCATTATTTCTGCCTGAGTTCACTCATTTCAAATATTAACTTTTAATTACCTGCAACGAAGACAACAAACATAGGGCCTCTGGGTTCAAGGG